GATGAACAGTTTTGAATGTCGAGAAGAGCAAAAGAAAAATAGTCATTTTCATTAACCACTGGCAGTTGCTCAGTGAATTAAGAGTGTCGGCGGCGTAAGCACCGCTTTGTCCGGGGGACAGAATTGAGCTGTGCCTCCAGTGCGCAGGAGGATTCCCAACTGAAGTGGACGAGGTTTGGATCCTCGCGGAGCAGCAGGTGGAGTTCTATGGAAATTCTGCACACCTACGAGAGCCAGATGTAGGACTCATAAATTCAAAAGAGTTTATTAGTCCTACACTTTGAGTAAACTCAAAACAGCAGCTTTAATGCTGTAAAACCTCACATCCAAATACAAAGCAAAAGAAGAAACTAGAAACAAGAAACTCAAACTAAACCACTAGAAAATAAACCAGGAACTCAAAACTAGGAGTCGACTTGGCACATTGAGGGAAGAAACACACAGCATAGTGAGGGTGCAACACAGAAAAAAACAAGGAAAATGCATGGCTTAAATGCACAAGGGCGCAACGAGGGAATGGGAAACAGGAGGGAAACACAGCTGAGACTAATTAGACATGAGACATGGGAAACGAAACTAGATACACTGACATGAAACAAGGAACCGACAAAGTAAAACAGGAAGTTTAACACAGAGACAGTGAAACAGAGAGACATGACTGACCGGGGAGACATGACCGAGGGAACAGGGAACATGGAGACAAGACATGAATCATGGAACACAGGGAGGTCATAAACTAAAAGCTAAAAAACACAACAAACTTAACATTTAAACAGAAAACCATCAAGATAACTCAAAACCATGAATAACAATAATCAAGGAATACAAATAACACTGGGTCATGGAAGGCCTTCCCTTAAAAAGACATTTGGATGGGAGCATATGTTGTTCTAAAACTTGTAAATACCTTTCAGCGTTGATGGTGCCTTTCCAGATGTGCAAGGTGCGAATTCTAGGGCATTAAACCCTCCTCATCCTGTCAGAAATGCACATTTATTTAACTGAGTGCTGTTAACATGCGCTCCCTTTCCTCTTTAGTCTGGGGAATATGGTGTCCATGTTTTTTTTTTTTTTTTAAATCACTTCTGATTCATCTGATCACATAACAGTTTCCCTCTTTGTGTCATGGTTATTGGTCCTTTCGACCCAGCATTTTGAGTTTCTTATGTTTTTATAACATTTTATGGTTTATTATTTAAGGTTCATATAGGTAATCCCAAGTTTATTCTATATTAGCTTTTGTGCATTTTGGCTCCTCTCGTGTCTTTGCCCTCTGTGGCCCCTGCTGTGTGTATGTGTTTGCGCCTTGTTTCCCTCTTCTGTGCATGTTTTCCTCCTTGTGTTCCATTGTATGTTACCCTTCATGTCTCCTCTTTCCTGTTTCCTGTTCCCTTGCTCCCTCTTGTCTGCCTTTCCTCCACTCCTCTGTCAAACTAACGTGTCAGTCTTGTGTTCCTCCGTTTCCTGTTTTACTGTGACGGTCTCGTGGTTCTGTGTTTGGTGTGTCTAGATGTGCTTCCACTGTGGTGTCATGTTAATTTGTGTCAGCTGTGTTCCCCGTGTGTTCCCAATTCCCTCGTTATCCTCCTGTGTATTTATGTCAGCGTCTCCCACAGTTCTGTGTCGTGATCTCCCTTATGTGTCTGTGAAGGTTCTCAGTCATCCAGGTCATCGTAGTCAAAGGAGCTTGCAAAGAAAAGCGTCTGGAATTCTTTAAGTTGCTTGAAGACGTTTCACCTCTTCAAGCAATTCGCATGATAAGGTGGGGCCAGGTTTCACAATGAACACACCCGAAACTCTGGCTGATTGGGACCCACGCCCAGTTTCACACCTTGGCTCAGGCAATTAGAGGATCATCAGGGGGTCCTTTTGTCCCTCTGTGGGGGGTTACTCCCACTAGGTTTATATCTGGGACTCTCCACCATTTGACCTTAGAACTGAAGAAGCTTCTCGGATGAGAGGTGAAATGTCTTCAAGCAACTTAAAGAAGTCCAGACGCTTTTCTTTGCAAGCTCCTTTGACGATCTCCCTTATGGTTGTGTGTTTCTCCACGTGCTTCCCTGTGTGTTTTATTCATATAAATAAAGCTGTGGTTTATTTTTTTAGTTTACTTTCACCTCTCTGAGTCTGTGCTAGGGTCCTTTCCTGCCTGCTGCATAGCCAAATTATGACACTTTGTCTTAGTCCATTTTAAAAGAGCTTCGGCCCAGAGAAGACAGCAGCATTTCTGTTAACTTATAAATCTTTCTTTGTATGGTAGAGATGAATGGATGAAAAGAGGAAGTCCACAGACAAGTTTCATGGAGGACATTCAGAGGGTTGATGTGAGAGAAGATGTAAGGGATAGGGTGAGATGGAGGCAGATGATCTGCTGTGGTAAAAAAAACAAAAAATGTAATGTGGTTAAAGATAAGGGATACATAAGATAAGGGTTAGATAGTGACTCTAACAACTTGCTATGAAAATACAGGTTATGGGTTCCTACAGGAAGGCTATAGCAAACTGGATACAGTACATGAAAGTAGACTACTAACCTTTTTTACAGTGTTCTTCCATATTACTTTATGATTGCACAAAGACTGATAGAAATGTACATTTTTAACTAAAATCATTCATTTTGATGTGCGGAAGTTGTGTTTCTGTGCTTAGACTTTGTGTATATGTGTTAAACACATAAACAGTGCTAATGTTTAGGTAGCAACTTAGCTAGCTGAATACAGGATACAAGGTTGATGCATAGTAATAAAACCGTAAAGCTTTTCCAAAAATAAACTTTTGTAGTCTACATTGGTACAATGATTGCCGATTGTATTCTGATTACAGCAGGCATGCTGTAAAACAACAGGTAAAACCTCCCAAATCTGTGTTTTAGCACTTTAAGCTAATGTAACATTTTACAGTGTATCTACTAAACTTACAATTTTCTTTTGTCTGAGAAACACTGAACACAAACACATTGTTTTCAGAGAAAACTCCTTCAAAGGGAATCTCTTAAGGGGTAAAGTTACATCTCAGTTTGGAGTTAAAAAAAGTAAATATTGGTAAATGGTTTACCACTTAGGTTAGTTTTATAGATTTTATAATCCAACTTGTTGTTATTTTGTGTGTGGGTTTTTTTGTTGTTGGTTTTTTTTAAATGCAAAAATATAATAGAGCTTTTTTTTTTTAGTTTAAAGTGTGCAGGAGATGAAAAGCCGACCCTCACGGATGAACCCAAATCTCCTCCTCTAGATCCTTCTGGTAAAAGCCGCCAAAAAACTTCTCACCGCACTCGTTAGCAGGCCTGCAGAGCAGACGCTCTCTGATCTCTGACATTGAAGTCAGAGATCAGATTAGTGCCAAGACTGTGATTTATATGTTCTCACGCGGAATTGAAGTCGCTGTCGCTTTGGGACTGAAACTTGGCACAGATGATTACGATTGGATGAAATTATATAGAGATGCTTGCCTCACATTACACTCACACAGGGATAGCACTATCCTTACTATCTCAGTGTGAGTGTAATGTGGAGCAGAGTTATATTTGATCAAGTATTGACATGAACATATATAAACTGCACAACTGACCCCCTCATATGCTACAGCACTGAGCTTTAATGGCATCACTATAAGCATATGTCTTCATTAGCTCCTTTTAGAGCTACATTAGATTACTCCTGAGCTCTGGATATATTGACCAAATGTGTCTTTAGTCATGCAAAAGTAGAAATTTCCTATTGATAAGGTGTCTCACTAACCTCCTCTTCTCCCAACACCACAGTCTCTGCAGACACTCAGTGTAAGAACACAGCAAAGGCTGACATCATGCTGCTAGTCGACGGCTCATGGAGCATTGGGCGCAAAAACTTTAAAACCATCCGTAACTTCATCGCTCGCCTGGTCAGCGTGTTTGACATCGGCCCTGACA